CCTATACATATATTATCTAGATTTTTTGGTAACTTATATCTTAATCTGAGAACTGGTACTTGCAGTCTTTATTACCACTACCATTATCTACTCCCTGCTCTTACAAAGTTTATTCCGATTCCGATACCTATTTTTAACTAGCTTTTATACTAATCCTTCTCTGACTATCAAACCAGTTAGTTTAGATGGGTTGTTGTATCTAGGCTCTAAGTGCTTTCTGGTTTTATTTCTCTTGGTTTCTAATTTTGTAGCATAGAACCTTTTTCTTCAGTATGATTTTGGCAGCCAGGTTGGTAGACCCTTCTTGCCCCAGGGTTGTTTATCTAGTTTTTCAGTCTCTGGTTCTGGTTTTCCATAGTATCGTTTAAAGATCTTTACTACTTCTAGCTTGGGTCTTGCCAAACAGGTTTCAAATATTCTGGTTTCTTGGATTTGGATCACCTTAAAGCTTTCATTTTGAGATAGTAGTACCAAGATTACAGGTGATATATCCAACTAATCGTTAAATAAATGTTATCAGAACATAGGTCTATTTTTCAAAAAATGTCTTTAGTGAGAATCGAACTCTAGACCTGCTGCTTGAGAATAACAACTTAACCACTACTCTACGTCACACATTTTAACTTGAAAAATATTAAATTATTTATAAGCTTTTAAAATAATTAAGATGTCTATATTAGATGAATATTTAAAAAATTAATTTATTATCTAACTAGTTAGAAATAATGTTAAATACTTTGAATATAAAAAATAATATAAAGCTGCTTAAAATAAGAAATTTAATTTTATTTTGTCATATCCAAATAATAAAATTAACTAGCAAAATATATAACTAGAGATTGTACCTGAGTAGATATTTTTATTGTATAGTATAATAAATTACTCAAATAATCAGGTAATTTAATAATACCCAGGTAGAAATTTTCTTGTCTGTAGCTTAACAAACATGATCCATGCTATTAAAATATATGTAAGCAGGATACATATAAGCTAATTAATAATCATTCGTGGCCAGTACTTTACAAAATCAAAATCAAATTTTGAATTAAATTAAATATTTAAATCAAATATTTGAAGCAAATTCAAAATTTGATTTAATTTTGTAAAATAGTATTTGTAACTATGTGAAATATTTTGTCATATTTAAAAAAATATAATATCATATTAATAATTATAATACAATTTAAGAACCATAATTAATATAAAAAAATGTTTTACAAGACTCTGTATTGTTACAATATATTTTTGCACCACTTTAAATTTACTAGCAATCTTGATATATTTTGAATTTTTTAAGAACCACGGTATCATATAAATTTAATAATATTCATGGCTATTTGAAATACTTTCATTTTAAAACAATAAGTAAAACAGAAAGTATAAATAGCTAGTAAACTTCAGTATTCAATTTATCTAATAAGAAATAGCAAATAGTTTTATTAAATCTATTATATAAAATCTTGATATATTGGTATATTAAAAGCTTAATAAAACAATGGATACTCAACAAAATACTGCCAATGCTAAAAAAAAATATTGTAGCAGTTATAACAAGACCAAATTAGCTTTTGAATTTGTAAGACAGCGAGTGACAAAATGGTAAAATGCAGCTTGTGCAATATTTGCACTAAAAAAGATAGACAAAGTAAAAAAAATACCAGATCCTTTAATGCTAAGTTCTCTAATACTACATGCTCTAATACTGTACTACATACTCTAATGCTATATCCTCTAATGCTACATTCTCTAATGCTATATCCTCTAATGCTATATCTTCTAATACTACCATTATATCTTTACTCTTTGATGACAATGATAATAATGAAGGTTTAGTTGTAAATAATGGTGAAAATGATGAGAAGAGACTTCTTTATAACTTATGCGATCTCAAAGATATTATATGTACTAACTTTAGAGAAAGTGAAGAACAAAATACTGATATTAAATTTTCTATTATAGTAAAAATTGAAAGAGAATTAGTTAGTGAAGAATCATTCGAATTTGATCATAATAATGAAGCTGAAAAATTTTGTAATATCATTAATATTTTAATAATGTCTCTTTAAGCAGGATCAGGCTACTATTAAGAACTTCAAAAACTTTATGTAAATAAAAAATAGTCAATATATAGGATATGTAATAGCTAACTTAGGATATACTCAGAGGCTTGATAAGCAGTACAAAAATCTAAACAATCAGTCTACAAAACATGTAAATGAAATATAATCTGCAATTAAATACTATTTATATAATAGAAATATAACAATTAAAATTGACTTATATGAGAAAAGGGCTATACTATTTAATAGCCCATCTATATTTTATATATAAAGATACAAATCTGCTAGCAAATGCTATAATGTGAATAAGACAGTATATTAATTATAGCCTACAAAAAGCTAAATTTCACAAATAGCTTTGTGATAAAAATCCCATTAGCTCATCGCTATATACTTATCAGCAGGTATATTATTAGGCATATAAACTTTTATCAGAGTTTTATATAACTGATACAACAAATCAAGTAAAATTAGCAAAAAATTTTATAGAGCAAGAAGAATTAGCTAAAGCAAAATACAAAATTATTCAATATCATAAAAATGATTTTATGTATTCTTTTAGATTCATAATCCCATTTATTTATATTATAAAAAATAAAAATATTAGTAAGGTTATTATAGATTCAACATTCAAAACAAATCAAGAATGATTTTAATTTTTTGCAGTAAATATTAATTGTGAAGAATTTGGAGTTCCTCTTGCATATTTATTTTTGAACATATATGCAGCACCAGAAGAATACCTTTCAGATCCAAGAAATATTGTATATATCTATATTGGTGTGCTTAAAGAATTCTTTGCTAAATTGCGAAATAAAGAAATTTTGCTAGTATTTGTACTTTTAGACAAAGATTCTAGTGAAATTGCTACTGTCTAGAAGGCATGATAAAAAATATCAGTGATCTAGATTTGCTTCTAGCATGTGGAACATGTAATTAAACGTAAACTAAAAAAAAAAATCTAGAGAAAGTCAATATACTGTACAAAAAAACAAATAATGCATATCATCTTTTTTCTTTTATTGACCTGACCTGGCTTCCTGATATGCAACAAAATAAACTATACCCCAAAGAACTTATAAAAAAATTGCTAAGAATAGTTAAAAAGCATGTAATATTATATCTACTTATTCTAGTAGATAGAAATACTTTTCTAACAACTAAACAAATTTACTATCAAAACATTTTAGAAGCTTACCAATTTTGTTCACAAAAAAATCTCTATAAATTATGAGGATACCTGTAGACGAATTAGTATAATAAAAAAGATTGGATGTTTTTTGCTTAAGCATTCTATCCAAAAGCTATACTAATAGCTAAAATTACTATGATAACTGAATCATATTGGCGTATCTTTAAACATAAATATAAGTATAATTGTAATCAGCCACGTCTTGATCGCCTAACACAAATTCTTACAAAAGAATTAGTACCAGATATAAAAAATAACTAGAGAAGGCTCAATTATAATTATAATTTTTTTTTTGTAGTGAGATATATTTAAACACGATTGGAAAATATTTTAAAAAAAAATATTAATACAGAGAATATATACTATACTGATATAAATATATGGGTCTGTTTTTGCTCTGCTTTTATACTTAACCCTTATCTAATATGTAAATACCTGGTGTATAAGTACTTTACAGAAAACTCGGATTTTTTTTTTCGATTTTTTGCAACAACAAGACATTATGATTACCTATTAATTTCCTTCAGTAAGCCAATTCCTCCAAGAATAAACTTGAAAAATAACTTTTGGAATAATGCTATGCAAAACAATAACATTGATATAGAAGTTGTAGAAATGACTTTTAGCAATAATGTATAAACACTTGTTTCTAATCAATATGCAATTATTGAAAGTTGGCAAGCAGAACTAATTTCTGACATGAAGATATATGAGGTGTTAGTAAAAATTATAAAAGACAATATTAACAATGATAGGCTTTTTGAAGCATACAAGACCCTTAAGCAGCCTCTTGTTGCTGAGGCTATCACATGTACTGAAGCCCTTAACTTAAAAAAATAGCAACAAACCTGGAAGCCACAAAAATATAAAAAATTGGCATTCTGGTTGCAATAATATCATTACATAAATATTATAAAAAGATCCCTCATAAATTAAACCCAGGTATGAATTGTGAGATCTATATTAATTAAACTTAGTTTTTTTCAAACATCTAGACTACCTGCTATAAATGCAAAATGCATATGTTCTTCAAAATTTCTTTCTTAATAATATAACCTCTCATCCATATACTAGACCTAGATCTATTATAGGTTTTAAAATTGGTAGAATGTAAGAGACCTAGGTCTTGTATATGACCCTTTATAGTAATACAGCATTTCTGCAATGAATATAAAATTTTGAATCTATAAAATCTTTAAATTCTTTATTAGTGACTGATAACATAATAAATATATAGTTTTTTTTTAATCTGTACATTTCGTAATATCACAAAAAAAAAAAAGTAATAAAAATTCCCTATTACTGCACTTTTCATTTGAATAAAGTTTCGATATAGCTTCTAATGTAATAATATATCAGAATATTAATATATTGGTAATATATAATATAATTATAAAGTTATTATATATGCGAAAATAATGAACGTTGATCTAAATTAATCAAAAATATATAGCGAAACTTCTATTAAATCTTAACCACAAATGCATATTCAGGAGATCAAACTGGTATAGTTCTTCTAAAGTGACTATAGTATTAGCATTAATATTTTCCAATAATCTAGGTTTGAAAAAACTAATGTAGAAAAAAAAGAATATGCACTTATTGAGTGAGGTTTTACTATATTGTAACTATCGTTGTCGAAAAAAGTTATTGATCACAATCTTGATCACTAATTACTTAAGATCGTTGTGACCGAAATCGTGAACTGATAATCGGTCGATATCTCAAGGTATTTGAACTTCAGACCGAAGGTAAGATTGACCCTTTTTGTTTTAGCATAAGTCGGTTCTAATGATACGTTTTTGAAATTTAATATATTATTTTGTTTTATAGGCTTTTATTGTTTCATCTCTGTGGTGGAAATAGTTGGACGTGGAATCTATCGTCGAAGAACATTGTCCCGGTTCACTTTGCCAACAAGGGTGCTAGATTTATATTACCTTTATGACCTCTTTAGAGCCATGTTTTGTTTTCGAAATGAACTAGCAGCGTCATTAAATATTATCCAGAAACTCAAAATTGCAAAGGCCCGAAAACTTAAAATAGACGACCCAGTTGGTGATTATATGTTGCGGGTGCCACCTTCATGAGCACTTGTAAATGAATATGTAAAAAAAAAAAAAGCGCATATCATTTACTTCAAATTGCACTACTTATAATAAAGTTTGAGCCTAATAAGATTTTCTTACATTTCATCGCATTATTCTTTAATGTTTATGTTTACATGCGGTGTGTATCGATTATAACAAAATAATGCATAAGAGATTTTTTTATTGCTTAAGGGTGTTATCAAGGACCTTAACCAATCTGTCGGAACGGGTCTGAGAGTAAATTTTAATTAGTAAAAAAAAATAGGTTAACGAATCGATTGAATTGATTATTTAAATGAACAAAACGCGTGATGAAAGTTTAATACGTTAGAAAGAAAATTTTATTAGTGGAAGACCGTTTAATCGATCAAGGGTATTTATGACCGGGGTAAAAATCGCCACCCAAAAAAGTTTCGAAAATCATGTGATATTATGAATTCATCATGATTAATATCATAATAATATTTAGTACAGGTGATATCAACCTATTCGAATTAGTTTTAAACCATGTTGATAGCGATATTAATGAGAAATCATATTAAAGTTGATATATATGAGAGATTTTGATAGGGAACGCCTATTTCCACCATGAAAATTTGCTATTTCCGCCATGCTTTTCACATGACTTTCATCTTCGTAAGCCTGTGGTTCCCTAAAACGTATGTTATTTCAATTGAAAAATGACATTCGTCAATTAATAATTGACATAAATTGAGAAATGATGCATAACATTTCCACAATTTAACGTAATTTATCATGACAGTATGCTCGTCATGTTCATGTAGCTGAAAGTTATACGGAAAGCATGGCAGCATGGTGGAAATAGCAAATGTCCATGGTGGAAATAGGCCGTTCCCTTTTGATATATAAAAAATTATAAAAATTTGTCCTGTGGCTTAGATTGATATTAACAAGGTTGATATTAACGGGATCGATTTAGAAGTGATGTTTTTCTTCGATTCTTCAAAATGAAAAGCGATCGTTACAATCTCGACAAACCAAGTGATTCTTTTATAAGCATAAAAAAATCCAATAAACACGATATTCTAAAAATATACTTGATTGCCGTAATTAAGTTTTCAAAATAATAATCGAAAAAAAGAATGTAAGTCGAAATAAATTATAAAGGCTAATCAAGAAAATGCAATTGCACCAGAAAACCTTGTAGATTTTATTTTTTAATGCTCTTCCGGAGGACTATAACTCTGTTATTTATTTGAGCAAAAAATTTTTATAAATCTGAATCCGGGACGCAACAAAAAAATTATTGAATAAAATATAATAAATCCAAATAGTAACAAATGGTTAGATAGTATCAATAAAAACTGTGCTATTGCATAAATTGGAAGAGGATTATAATCATTTTAAAAGGCAATGGAATCTTCCAAATACTTAGAAAAACCGTAATCATAATAACATTTACTGAATTTATTCGAAATAAATAAAATGATTAATATTATTTTTGTTGTATTTTTGTTCAAGCTAAATGGATTTTTGGTGCTCGATATACTTGTCACGTGACGTTAGAAACTTTTTTGGGTGGCGATTTTACCCGGTCGTATTTATCATTCCAATCAACAAGAGATGGAGGCCACGACGTCCTTTTTTTTTCAGAGTTGCGCTTATTTGTCGAAATTTTTCATTGATTGATTAGAAAAAATAATTGTTCATGTACTTCGCCTTTTTACATTATCATTATCGTTATGGATCTTCAAAATCGTTACCTTATTACTTATGCTAAAAATCTCTGTTTTTTATGTTTTGTTGGTTTGTAGTAAATTCCAAAAAAAGAAAAACAGAATTTTATCCTTTCGTTGATTTATCGTTTTTGTTTTTTTTTTTATTATATCGATTTGTAAAACTATAATCGCTAAATGGTAGTAATGATAAAGATGCTTGCTCAAGCATCAATTGCATCAACACGATCATAAGTTAAGAAGTTACGTGAGTAACATTCATACTATCATCCATACTATTGGTCTTCGACAATATATCGCTATAATGGTTGAGCACTAGGTATGTTGTCATGCTCCATCCGGTCAGTGTGTGCTTAAAAACCCGTTGTAGCGCTGTT